GAAGGTGCAAGGTTTTCATCTGACAGTGGCAATTTGGTAACCCAGAGGCAACATAGAGGACATGTTAAACTACATAGGCTTGGATATAGGATACATTCAAGTTAGCTAAGGACTAGAGAGGTTCAGCTAATGCTTGATATAAAAGTACATACAGCTTATTTTCTCTTAGCAGCTTGTCACAACCTAAGCTTCTCCATCCAGGATTTGAATGCAGACTGCTGATATTAGGCCAGATACAGGTTCAACTGACAAACACGCAGCGACCGTTTCCTTTTACACTTCATGTAAAAGTAGATAACATGGGTACAGTATTGGTAGCATGCTACAATACGCCCGGCACTGATGTGAATCGTTATGAACTAACAACAAAACACGATCTTATGTAACTGACTGTGCTAATGTGTGAACTCTTTCTGACCAAACTTGTTAGCAGTTTTAAAATTCAAATTTGTATTAACATCATTTATCTATGTTCAAGCTTCTTTTGGTCCTAGTTGTGTCCAAATGGTTAGCCAGATTTAGCACTACCTGCATGAAAGATGGGATTTTTTTTTCTTTCTTGTCAATAATATGTTCAAGTCCGCCACTTGGTATTGTATTATATATTGTGTTCAAAAATAAATCTGAAATACTTTTTCTATGAAGTGATTAAAAGCAAAGCATGAACATATTCCCTCTGGTTCTGCTGTTTTTTTCCACCTCATAGCCTGATTTTCTTTACAATGGGTGTGAACAACAAATAGGGTCACAGTCATGCTTCTGGTGGCCACCCTCATGTTTGATTAGGCTGTGCCCCAAAGCAAAGCTGTATTTACTGAGCACTTGGGTTCTGTGCAAAAACAGAGCCTCCAGTAGGTAAAACAACATCAGTAATATTCTAAAATCCCTACTAGTGGCCCCTTGAGGTTTGTGCTGCTTCTGACATTCAAACAAATCAAAGAGCTATGAACCAATTTACAGACCAAACAAAAGCCGAATACGCTTACCAGCCACTTTATTAGGTACACCTATACAATTGTATGCAACAATTCCACCTTAACATCTGTGTTTTTGAAACTCAAAATGTTTGTTTTTGGTGAAATTGTCGTAAATGTATACATTCAATTGTTTATTATTGAGGTCACAGTTAAAAGTGGAGTTGTACTGGACTACATTATATTTAGAGGTGTCTCTAAACTTTTGTCCTCCCCAGCTACATACACAAGAGGGTCAGAATATTAGGAACACCTCTGTTGCATTGTATTGTATACAATTGTACAGATGTACCTAATAAAGTGGTAGGTAAGTGTATATTAGGCTTACAAAAATTCGAATCAGAGAAAAGCAGTAAGGTCAAATATTTTTTTGTAGATTTATGGTCAATTGGCAACATTTTAGCACTACAAATCTGTGTCTTACAGCTTTCTAATGAGCAGGACATTTTTATATATTTAAAGTATAATTTAGTGGAGTCTTATCTGACAGTCAGTGGGAATCTCAAATTGTAATTCTGTTTTAAGGTCAAATTTAAGTTCCCACAGTTATACAACCACAACCGAAACTAAATAAAGCCAGCAAAAGGTTAGCAGACCCTGGCCTGTGCTGTGAGAAATAAATACCAACCCTAAACCTCAGAACAGTGCCTGGAAATGATATTATAGCTTACATTGGTATATCTGTGCTATGTTACTCTTCGTCCTCTTTGATGTGACTGTTTGCATCACAGAGGTTTGACTCTAATGTGCTGAGACAGGAACACTGTGTAACACATACTCGGCACCATGGCCCACACATGCACACACGCCTGTCCTGATGTGACACAAGACCCTCACACACGCACAGAAACAAGCACGCACACACAAACACACAGTGTTCATTTTTGCATGAGATACAATACAGTGAATGTAAACACAAAGACACTAGAGATGTTTTACAAGGCCTCTTCCCAACATATATGATAAAAAAAATCACCCAAACTTTTCATTTATACCATTAATTATTAATTCAAAAGTATTAATTCTGCAATATATATGAAATAAAACCTAATTTTGTCAGGTTGTAAGCTAACTTCAAGAGAGCCTCTACCTCCAAGATGAAAATTTGAAAAGACAAGCATAATATAGACAATTCAAGAGATAAACTAGACTTTTTCCCCAGCATGGACACAAGAAGGAATTTTGCATTAAGCCCAATCAGCTTGTTAGATAATGTAATATCTCAAAACCTACTTAAGGTATTTCAGCAAAATGTGGCGGAAACTAGGCCACTGTATCGCCTGGCATAGTTTAAATGTGGTGCAAATAGCACCACCATGTGGTCATTTATGAAGCACTTCACATTTTGGCTCATAACACCTGAACTATAATCTTTTTTGTTTCGATTTAATAACCCAAAGATAAGTGTGTGGATGCCAGGTCAGCATTTGTTATCATGTTCTTTATTATTCTGATTTCTTCCGTACATTTTTTGTCGCTGAATAACTCCAGCGTACTTTCAGCTAGAAAAACCATTCAAATATCAAAATGTTAAGCTTTTTAATTTTTTGATTGATGTTTGATTAAATTTTTTTTTTTTTTTTGATGTTCTAGCCTCATCTTTACATTGGTGGATACTGTTACAGTGACTATAAAAACATGGCCAGTGGTGCATTTACTGTTTGCTGAAAGGAAAACTACTGTAGCTGCTTACTTATAGCCATTATGAGTAGCTCACAGCAAGGGTCTGTATCAATATGGAAGTACCTAAACACTTTGTTGTTGTTTACAGAGGAGAACAGTTCAGATTTAAAACCTTCTATGGAAAGCCAGAGTGTTCAATAATAATAATAAATAAAAACAACATTGAAATTAATCATATGAATAAATTGTGTAAAATATATGAAATCATTCAAGAAATATTAAAACTTAAGTCATTATTTTGAAATGGTATTTCATCATTCTTACTTGATAGAGTTTTTAGGGGTTATTTTTGTTGTGATTATGGACATTATTAATTCAAAGTGCTATTTGTCAAAAATCTATTATTTCATGCCTTTTTATGTCCCTTTACTACGTAGCCTAGATGGTCGGACATTATGTCCATGCTGCTGTCTGTGACTCTGCAAAATATGTGCTCTTGAACACAGTAATTCACAGTAAACAATTCAAAGCAGAAACTCTTTACTTATAGATTAGATGGTCTAACAGGAATTTGCATAAATGTGCATTTTAATGAGGACCGGTTTCACAAAAACTGTAGGTTAACCTAACACATTCAAATTATTACCAAATAGATACCATTATGCAAAAAAGTATGTATGTTGGTAGGAAAAGAATACAGATAGAATGCAGTGAATTGCAGTACAACTCTCATGTTACCAGTACGAATTCTGACTATTGACATTTCCACCGATCAGGCATAACATTATGACCACTGACAGGCGAAGTGAATAACACTGATGAGCTCGTTACATCCACCTGTCAGTGGATGGGGTATATAAGGCAGCAAACCAACAGCATTTAAGGAAGGACAGATGGTGAAGTGGTGACAGGGCCATGGATGTTTATGGCTAACTGATGATGAGGTTGATCTACTTTAGATCTTTTGAATTTAATGTTAATGTGCAGTGTTCTGTGTGTATGCAGATGTTTAGCTGTTACTCTGAGGTAAAGCAGTTGAATAAATGTATAATTTCGAGTTCATGTAGGCTACTTTATCTAGTGTTAGCCAGACGGGCAGCGAGGCGTCGGACGTCATCATTTTCAGCTCCTCCCCTAAATGATGGTGTGTGTCCTCTAATTATCTCCATGTGTGGTTAGCCTTCTGTACGCTATTGTTGAGCTTTAGCTGTTCGTTTGAACAATGAGGTTAATTGTTAAAACTTTTTGCCATGACGGTTTCGTTTAAATTAAGCCCATACTCATATGAGAAGGTTTTATTGACAGTGGAAGCAATGTCAGGAATTAATCAGAAACCATCAGTAAGTAACTTCCCGTTAAAGAATGGTGTCCTGTTAACAATGGAGAGAATTCTATGTCTAAACCTAGATTATTAAAGGTCTTTGAGTATGGGGGGGATGCTCAGAGGGGGGTCTCGCCTGGGGAGTAATTCAATGTAGAACCACCACTGGGTGGTGGTTTATTGTAGGAAGGAGGTCTTTGTTCTTCATGAGTACAAGTTGGCTTCATACTACATTTTGAATATAATGTACACCTTGTGGTGTGATCAAAACCACCTACAGAGCTGCTAAAATATTCCTGTATCATTTAGTCAAAGAATTGTATTTAGACTGTACTATTACTTGATAGTACTTTATTACCCATGTTCACTTGCTGTATTTTGGCAATATGCACAACAGTAGAACTAACTGCTTTGCATAGATGTACAGTGGGTACGGAAAGTATTCAGACCCCCTTAAATTTTTCACTCTTTGTTATATTGCAGCCATATGCCAAAATCATTTGTTCATTTTTTTCCTCAATGTACACACAGCACCCCATATTGACAGAAAAACACAGAAGTTGACATTTTTGCAGATTTATTAAAAAAGAAAAACTGAAATATCACATGGTCATAAGTATTCAGACCCTTTGCTGTGACACTCATATATTTAACTTAGGTGCTGTCCATTTCTTCTGATCATCCCTCAGATGGTTCTACACCTTCATTTGAGTCCAGCTGTGTTTGATTATACTGATTGACCGTGATTAGGAAAGCCACCCACCTGTCTATATAAGACCCTACAGCTCACAGTGCATGTCAGAGCAAATGAGAATCATGAGGTCAAAGGAACTGCCTGAAGAGCTCAGAGACAGAATTGTGGCAAAGCACAGATCTGGCCAAGGTTACAAAAAAATTCTGCTGCACTTAAGGTTCCTAAGAGCACAGTGGCCTCCATA